GGTCTCCTCCCGCGTTTTCAGCCAGTCAAAAAATGAAGCTATTATTTCATTGTGACTCAGTGAAGCCCATCCCTCTCCGCCCTCTCCCCCCTAAAATAGCTGCGTACACTTTTCTCACCCCATCCTTCACAACTCACAATCGGTGTTTTCTGTGTGAAGTGTCAGAGCCAATCAATCTAATCCCTCGTCCCCTCCCTCCATTCTCTCTCCAGAAGTCCCCTCCCCGCCCTCGGCCCCCGTGCCGTTCTGGATTCTGGAGCTGCCCCCCTGAAGAATTCCTGGTCCAGGCTGTCCTCTGTGAAGTCCCACCAGCCCTGATTTGTCTGACGGATCCAGTGACAGCGCCCCGTTCCCTCCTCCCTGCTGCCCCTGGAGGTGACAGCCCCACTCTGCTCCACGTCCCTAAGTCCCACGAGAGCAGGAGTCATGACTCATCTGTAATCAGACCCCAAGGGCACCTTTCTGAAGCCCTTGTCTGGGAAGGGAAGTAAAAATCTATCAACAAAAGGGGGCCGGGGGAGCAGTCCAGCACTTGTGACTGTGCCCTCGGCCTGAAGAGCTGTTTTCCTAAACTCTAAACCTGGGCTGTCTTGGCAGGATGTCAAGCTGACTGAGTCATTACCTGTTTATGTCCACAGGCCTCCGTCGCCATGACAGAAAGCTACAGGGAGGACCCGCCAGGAACCAGCAGGAATGACATGCCTTTCACTCTTGGAGGAATTCACTCAAAGGGCAGTGACGAGTGAAACATGCTGGGGACCGGGCCCGGCCGTCCATCCTGGGCCCCAGGCACCCACGGGCCAGGCAGCTCCACCACCGGCCAACACTGGGGTCCTTTCTGCCCTTTCTCTCCACCTGTTTCTAAAAGTTCCCAGGGTTTGGGGGTGAGGGGGCAGACAGCCTTGTGGAATTCGCCTCTTTCTAAAAGACTCAATGCTGATGAGTTCCCGCCCCCGACGGATGACTTTCCCAACCTTCCGTCTTCCCCTTCTTTCCTCATTTCTGCCCTGAAATTACAAATGCCCCATCTGAAAGTAGAGCCGTGACAGAACATCAGGAAATTTGAGAAGAATCCGCTGAAATCCCAGCGCCCATGGGACTGACCAGAACACATGAGCTATCAGCCGGCCTCCTGTCCCAAAAACCACGTGGTTCCCACGCGTACCTATCTGCACGCAAACATGCTGAAGGAGGTAACAGCCTTCGCTGGTGGGTTATACGAGCCCTTGAACGATGAGCACAGCTGAGATGTGTTTCTCCTCTTGTAACAGAGCCAGATAAGCTGGACTAAATGCACCCAGGTAACAAACTGTACAGAGATACTGCAGGAAATATAGCAGAGAGCAGCCGCCACTGAACCAGCTTGTCTCCTCTGGTCCTAAAGCGGAGCCCGAGACACTTGCAGGAGCCTGGGGCCGGGAGGGAGGCAGAGGAGCTCGGGCTTGGGAGTCAGAAGAGCACAGGACAGCGCTGGCCCCAGGGTGCCCTTTCCTAAGAGTGGGGAGCATCCTCTCCCAGCCCACACAGAACTGGCTGATGATCAGAGAGGACACAAGACCAAGGGAACTTCACTGGAGTTTTACCTCCAAATCAGAACGTTTGCTTTGGATTTCTGCCTTACTTGGGACCATTCACGATCAATTTTAAATGTATGCACACAGCAGGAAGGGTCACTGAATTCTTTCCGAATACACAAGAATTCTGGACACTTCCCTTTGGGGACCACTAATTAGAAGGACACATCCCCCCAAATGTTCAGAGAAGACAGTACGCATGTTAAAGGAATAATAGGAATGTTAAAAGGGATGAATAATAAACAAAACTTTGGTCAAGATTTAATCATCTTGGATTAAAAAAAAATTTAATGACTAGTGGTTCCCCCTAAATTAAACTAGAATCACCATGTGACCCAGCAATCCCACTTCTGGGCACATTCCCCAAAAGCAGAGTCTTAAAGAGATATTTGCAGACTCCTGTTCAGAGCAGCATTATTCACAATGGCCAAAAGGCAGGAGGAGCTCCGTGCCCACCGACAGATAGCAGGTGGGCAACATGAGGTCGATACATACGGTGGAATTATCATTCAGTCTTAAAAGGAAATTCTGACACAGGCTGCAACATGGATGAACCTTGAGGACGTCAGGCAAAGCAAAATAGCCAGTCACACGAGGACAAACACTTCATGAGTTCCCTCATACGAGGGACCTAGAGTAGTCAGAATCAGGCAGGAAGCAGAATGGATGGCAGTTGCCAGGGGTGGGGGGAAGAATGGGGAGTCCGTGTTTAATGTGGACAGACCTTCAGTTTGAAAGATAAAAGTCGTAGAGATGGATCGTGGTAATGGTTAAACACGAATGTACTTAATACCACGGGCCCACGCCTTAAAAATGGTGCAGGTGGCAAATTTTACGTGTGTGTACTTTACCACAATAAAAAAAGTTTAATGACTGTAGTACTCAGATAGCAGTGGTGACTCTGTGACTACATCAGAAACATCCAGCGAGGACAGCACTTTATGGGTAACTTGTTCTTCAAAGGATACAAAGGTGACCTTTTATAAAGGCATCAACTCTGCAGAGACCCAGTTTGAACTACGAAGCCAGAAATCGCAGTCAAACTCAAAACACCACAGTCTGAATTTTAGGTAAGAAAGTCGAATTTCTTTAAAGAGCCAAATAAGTCGAGTAATTCAAGCAATAATTCAAGCAATTACCTCCCGAGTCCTCATGACTAGTATCGACTGGGGGCAAACAAGTAACAAAGAATGTTGACTTACACTATTAGTAAGCACATTTCTGACGACAAACTGGTACCGAAAATAAATCCAGCTGCCCCGAAAACTTCTTCTACAAAGCAGTTTAATAGGAAAAAACGTTTCTTAATGTGTAGTAATAGCCCGATGCTGGAAAGAATTCTATCATGAGGCTATTCGTATTACATTTGCGAGAAGTACTTTTTATGGAAGGCAAGTTTGAAATAATATCTGGAAAAAAAGGAGAAATTGAATCCCGAAATCAAAGCCTCCTGCATAAAGGAAATGAGTAACAATCATCGCCAGTGACCATGTCTCTGTCACGATTAATGACGTAGGAAAATCGGATTGTGCCACAAGGGAAATGTACATCGCGCACAACAAGGCTAACAAAGCATGTGTCCGGGAAGGTGGCGCACCGACCGCGGTCCCCTGGGAGGTGAGGGGCTCCGGGGACAGGAGCTCCTACCTCTTGGTGATCTGGCTGGGCTCCTGCAGCCCCGGGTCGAGGTCAAAGCCCTCATTATCCAGCAGCCTGCGGAGCGCCACGTCGGCCAGCTGCTCCATGATCTTGAACACCTCGTCCAGGTTCAGAAACATGGAGAAGTCCCGCTCTTTATTCTGCGTAGTGATGCGGATGGTGTCCGTCAGAAAGACGTTGGA